GCTGATCGCAAGCTCTGCTCCAAGGGGTCGTTCTTGTCCGGACACTCACTCTAGCAGCTGTCTTAGCAGGTGCCAGAGCGACATCCGCGACAGAGAGGTCACTGTTGTCAAGCCGTTGCTTGACCCTATGCCATGAAGCTAAAGCGTACTTAGGGTCGGTGCGCAGGCAATGGACAAGCATAAGCATCTCAGCCCGGTTGATGGTCTGCTCGCCACACACCTCGGTGCGCACGACTCAATGCAAGCAAGGGGGTATGTCACCATTGCGCCAGCATGAAGTGGACCCTCTGCCTCTGCGCGCTGGCAAGGATGATGGCTCCTGCAGCGGGGGCATTCGCAAAAGGCGACTACCATCCGTGTCAAAAACCCAACGCGCTGACCAAGCGCGTTGGGGTCCAAGGCTTTATAAGGTGCACAAGCTTGGCGTGCAGCCAACTCAAGCACTACTGGAAACTGTGTCCATTGAGGATGGTTTCTTCTACCTCAGCTCAAGTAGCGTGGTGTTCTGCTCGAAGGTCTGCAGGACAATAGCTGGTGGCGCTGAGAACACTTACGCTGCTGGCACAACGGGGCGCATACCGGATTCTCCTTGCTGCCAACGGGCGCTCATGAAGGAGCCACATGCGCCCCTCTTCCGGAATTGCGGAATCACCAGTGCAATCAACCATTGGAAGACCATGGCTCTCCACTCTTGCTGGACTCTACGAGCAATGGCGGGGAAAGGCGTCTAGAAAAGCGGCAAGGCCACTGTTCGAGAAAAGCAGCTGGCCGACCTGCTGCTGCTTCATCTCGCGCGATTGAGGTAAGTCTTCATCTGGTCACAGACGCAAGGCCACAGGAGAGACTGAACTTTCGACAGAAAGACTCGGGCTATCCTGATTGACTGGAGATTGGCATAAAGCTCATGGCCACAAGGCTTGTGTTTATTTGCCTGTGGGAGCAAGCTTTTGGGAAGACATCTCCCAAGCTTGCTTGCACTCTCGCGCAGGCGCCGCCGTTGTCTGACACGCCAAGAGTCTAGGAGCCATTTCTCGGTCCGACCGGCAAATGCACCTAGGCAGCTAAAAGGGCTGTCTCTGTAAGGACATGCTGAACAAAGGCATATGCGATATTCAACATGACACAGGTACTACAAGCATCCCTTGCGGGGCTCCCGTAGTGCTAGGCAGAGGCACACTGAGGCTGCCTTTGGCCTGAAGAAGCCTAGCTCAATTGCAAGGCCCAACTGATTTAAAACGGCTGTTGCTGGGCCTTGTGGAATCAAGTTGAAACACACTTGCTGAGATCAGTGCGCCGTATGCCAGGCCACTAACGGCTGGCGGTAGGCGATTGATCGATTTAGCTGCAACCCGCCCCCTAACAGCGGTATAGCAAGGAGAGGGACGGCCATGAGCGGCGTGGCTTGCCTGGGACGAGTGAAGCCCTTGCTTGCATCAAGAAACTGGGCCATCCGTCCTGTTGGAAAGCCGCTAAGGTCGGGATCAGGTGGGTCACCGTTCGTCGAGACAGCAAGCACAACTCACCAGCGTGGAGGCCACCCACGCCTTGCAAGGTCTTCTTTTGAAGAAGCATGAAGAGGGGCGCACCTTTGTGGGAGGTTGGGTCTTGCGCTTTGCTCTATCCACTGGCCCGCAATTAGGGAAGCGTGAGTGAGGCGCTTGGGGGCCTCGCGTGGGAAAGCACATTAAGAGGGGAGGAAGCATTATTGCTTGCAGCGTTGCGTTTTGCTGCATCTGCTGGCCCGCAGGTCCTGAAGCAAGGTCTGAGGCGCGGCCAGAAGGGTCTGGGAGTCGTGGCGTCAAGAAGACGCTTCAGGCTGTGCTGGGAGCCGTGAAGCCCTGAGGCGCGGCCTGGCGAGTGAGGTGCTTCAGGCTGTGGGGGAGGGCTTCGTCCGGGAGAAGGGTCCGGGAGTTGTAGCTTTTGATGTGAAGGGTCCGCTTTGGGACGCGTCAATGAGGCGCTTCAGGCCGCGGGGAGGGCCTTGCCTGGGAGGTCACGGAAAAGTGAATAAGACCTCTTAAAGTGTTGTGTTTTGCTGCATCTCCCGCAGGCCCTGAAACAAGCTCTGAGGCGCGGCCTGAAGGAGGCGCGGCGTGAAGGGTCCGGGAATCGTGGCGCGGCCTGAAGGGTGCGGGAGTCGTGGCTTGAGGCGCCTCAGGCTGCGGGCATGGAAAAATGATTTCGGAAACGTTAAGAAGGGCCCGAGGTAGCAAGCTGAGGGGCGGCGTGATTTGGGAAGCATTAAGAGGGCCCGCTTTGGGGAGCGTCTGCTCTGCCCGCGGCGAACTCTGAGGAAAGGCGGGGCCCGAGCGCCCGCGCCCTGCCTTCTCCTGGCCCGCTTCTGAGCTGAGTGTTTCGCGGCCTCGCCGTCAAATGAAAATCGCGGCTTCGGGCGCTCTAGCTGCCGGCCGCGATCTGGCTCAGAACAGGTTGGGCCGCGCCGCGCGCCATGCCGCAGCGCTGCGCCGGATTGGAGGACCCCGCGGGCGGCGGCCCTCGGCCTTGCAGCTTCCCCTGCATGAATGGAGGTCATCAGGATGTACACAGCTTGGCTTTGGGTGACGGTTCGCCCGCCTTGGTGACCATTGATTTCAACGTATCCGTGCGACTTCAAACCGTCCATCATAACTCAGAAATTTGTGGAGATCCAAGTTTCAAAGGTGCGGGAGCGCTGGAGGCCTGAAGTAGCCGCAAATGGCGGACCACGCGCTTTCCTGCATGAAGTGGCGGGATGGAACTCCGTGAGGTCAAGCTGCATGGCGACATTGCTCTTTTCCGTCGACACTCCTATTGCACGATATTTCAGCAATCCTGCTCAAGAACTTGCTGCAACTCATGCAAGAAGGGGTGCTGCGGGCAAAGGAATGGCAACTCCTTGAATTCAGGGTACTTATGCATTCACGAAGTAGGAAAGGCCCCGGCATAGCCTGGGGCTCGCAAGATGGCAAGCCACTCTTCGTTTGCGGCAAACGCTGAAGCACGTGAAGCTGAGGTTCCCGCGCGCCGCTGAGCGACTTGCGCGTGCGGCGCTTGTTGCCGAAGCGGTTTTCTCCTAGTCCGTGGTAAGCCAGTGCAAGCATGAAGTTCGCCTGCCTCTCAGGGGAGATCAATCGTTGGTCTGCAGGGCTTGGGCTGCTGCGCGCGTGCGCGGGGGTGCGCGCGGGGGTGCGCGCGGGGGTGCGCGCGGGGGCGCGCGCGGGGGTGCGCGCG